CGGCGCTGGCGGGAGCAGCGGAGCCTCGGGCGCAGCGGGCGGTGGGGCGGGCGCGGGGACCCGGCCGGGCGACAGCGGGACCGCGGGCGTGGGGGCCACTGGCCCTGGGGCCGCCACCAAGGTTGTGACAAAGGAGGAAGATGAGTGGAAAGAATTTGAGCAAAAAGAGGTTGATTACAGCGGCCTAAGAGTTCAAGCAATGCAAATAAGTGAAAAGGAAGATGAAGTTGAAAAAAGAGAAGATCCAAGTGATAACTGGGAAGAAGGTGGAGGTGGAGGTGGTGGTGGTGGTGCAGAAAAATCTTCAGGCCCTTGGAATAAAACTGCTCCGGTACAAGCACCTCCTGCTCCAGTAGTTGTTACAGAAACCCCAGAACCGACAATGACTAGTGGCGTGTATAGGCCTCCTGGAGCCAGGTTGACCACAACAAGGAAAGCACCACAAGGACCACCGGAATCTATAGTGACGCGCAGTTCCCATCCCTGCAGTCCACTGCCAAGCATGTAGAAAGCCGGAAATACTGAGCCTTCGTAAGGGTTGACTACCTCAGATTTGCTGCACTCATTGTGGACTTCATGTGGATCACAACTTCTGGATAAGAAGGTTACAGCTATTAAGTGTCGATGTGAAACTTGAAACCAGCTCTACTGGATTCCTATCAGAGATCCTGCAGAAAGTCAGCCATCTGGGTTCTGATCTGCTGTAAAAGATGAAGATTTAAGTGACCTTAATTAACCTGTCCTGTGCCCCATCTATAAGGAATACTCTGAGGTGGACTGTGGCTGGATTAGACTTCCTGGAACTTGCCGCTCTCAAAAGAACTGATGTGCTTGGATAATCTGTAGGGCTCTGACTTATAATTTAAAACTTTGAGTTGTATTCTGAGGTAACCACAAATTAAATTCAACCAAACTTGGGTCACCAAGTGGGGAAAGGGGTAGGAGGGAAAAATCTTATTTCTTTTAGTAATTTTTTATTTGGGTAATGCTTTTTCTGTGTTCCATATTAAGGCTTTTTTTTTTTCTTGCTGTCACTTGGAATAGTTCTTTGACAGAGCATATTGCTTAGCTCAGTAACCTGAAGTATACATTGGAATTGTGAAATGTCTCATGAATTTGCCAATCCCTAGAGTGGAACCAAATGGCCTTTAATGTAAAGGGCAGTAAATGCAGGGGGCTCTGCTTCAGGTGCTGCTAAAGCCTACTCTAATCAGGTCTAAATTGTATAGTAAACTGGTGGAAAGACTTTGTTTAGTTTCTGCTCAGGCCAAGGGAATCACTGTCCTGTCCTTAACAAATTTAAAGCAGTAAGAGCAGAACCTCAACCTGAAACACACTCAAGTTTCACAGATCTTGCATGATCTTTGACAAGAATTACAGATGCACTTGTGCCCAAACATTTAAGGTGTTAGGTATTCTGTAGATGCAGTGATTGTCCCAGTCCTGCTTTGGTATCAACCTTCTGGTGTGTCTTTAAGTTGATCATTTGGAGCGTCAGGGGCGAAAGACAGATGGTATAGCACTTCTGTTTTTAATAATTACAGCTTAAACTATCCAGTAATTTTTAGTCCTAAAAAGGGACACCAGGACGCTACCCAGAATTGCTGAGCAGTCTTTCCATCTAATGAGATAGTCTCGTAATTTCCTAGTTTTCTATCTTCAGTAGAAATATTTCAGAGTGGCATGTGACCACTTGATGCAGAGTCTGGGTTTCTCTATAATAAAATCCCTTTGCCAAATGTAGGAGTTGCACACTTGCTACTGGCAAGAGTGAAGCAAATGGGTGAGTAAAACTATCCTGTTGTGGGAGCATTTTCCTCTAGGAGTTGAGTCTTGATAAAAGTGTCAATGAAGGAATCCCACTCCTGGGAGGCTAACAGAATCACCTGATGGGACCTGCAAACTGTATCTGGGCAATAATGTTGGAGTTACTTGAGGTGGCAGGCAGGATGCTTATGTTCTGATGTGCTTAGGTGAGTAGCTGAGCCAGCCAAGGAGAGGTTGGATGATTGAGAAACAAAGGATTCTTGGTTAATCTGAAGCCTTCATTTGGGAACCAAAAATCTTTTAACAAATAATCTCTTGAACCTTGAGCCACATATTTCCCCTGAAAAGTTCATTTTTTCCAGCAAAATTTTGTTGGGGATTATGTTATTGAGGAACAGAGATGAATATATGGAAAAGTTATTTAATGGTATAGAAATCTAAAGACCTGCAAGGAGACTTAAAAATCCCAACCCTTGTTACAACTTTTTAAAAGATTGTGGAATTATCAAAGTGCACATGAATCAAGTTTTAATATGCTGTATGATGGGTGGGTGAGGCTGTCCATTGTACCATTTCTTTCTTTGAATTCTCAGGCATGGTTTGGCAGTGCAAAAACTATGTGTCATTAACAAATTCAATAAAAGTAAATATATGGAAAAAAAATAAATTCTTTCTTTTGAAATTGGAATTATTTTAAAGGATTCAGGCCACACAGATAATCTGATTTTTCTTCCACATAAGAAAGCACACTTATGGGTCTAATCTCAGGAGAGGCATTTATTTTTCTTTTCCTCCAACAAAACTAAGACTGAGACAGAAAATTCTCTCTTCAGTCTGGCACTGCTGGGTAGATTTTTCCACATCCTACCTTCACATGGAGTATTTTCCTTTGTGACTTTGCACATTGTATGAGACACAGAATATTTCAAAATCCTTCCAGCTTTCTGGATATCTTCAGGATATGCGTCAAAGGCATTGTTGGCTTTTATCCTCTGTTCTTTATATTCCCAGCCTTAAAGAAATCCTGTTACATTTTTGGGGTCTTGTCCAATCATTTACATTGACTTCATTTTGTTTTTTGTAGCAAGTATATCTGTGTTCTAGCTAAAAAGTTTAGGATGTCTAGCCCCATGTATCCTAATATGGAAGTTCACTGTGTCTATATTTTAATTATATTTAGCATGGTTAGCTTTGTTCAGATCTTATATTGGCGATAACTACTATCAACTAGTTCTCATAACTTGTTTACTTTGTTCAGACTCTGTATCTAAAGGCCTACTTTGGAGGAGGGTTGTTGACACTCTGTGGACAGGCTGCTAGATTGACTGATTACAATTATACTGGGGAAAAGTGGACCTGATTAGAGCCACATGCATACGCTAGTGGAGCAAGTTGACCTTGTCTCACATACTTTTTAAACACCTGGCACCAGATTTCATTCAACCTTTTGGGGAGTAAATCCTATTTTAATGCGAAGATCTTTGAGTTTTTAATACATCTTCACTTTAGCATTGAACTTTTGTATGCTTCATTAGATGGGGATATACTAGATATCAATTTCCTTCATTTTTAATGAACATTTTGTTTTAGAATAGTTTTAGACATACAGAAAAGTTGCAAAGATAATATAGAAAGTTTTCATGTACTCCACAACTAACTTCCTCTCCTGTTATCATCTTATACTAGTAAGGAGAATCTGTTAGAACATAAGAACCCATGCAGGTTAAGTAGAAGTCCACCTTTTCTTCAAATTTCTTTACCTTTTACCAAATGTCTGCTATTCTAGGATCTTATCATATCACTTTTAATCTTCATGTCTCTTTAAGATCTTAGTAGTTGTTACAGTTTTTTAAGCTTTTTCTTGTTTTTAGTGACCTTGACAATTTTGAGGAGTACTAATCAGAAAACTAAGATCATGGCATCTGGTCCTATCACTTCATGGGAAATAGATGGGGAAACAGTGCAAACAGTGTCAGACTTTATTTTTTTGGGCTCCAAAATCACTGCAGATGGTGAATGCAGCCATGAAATTAAAAGACGGTTACTTCTTGGAAGGAAAGTTATAACCAACCTAGACAGCATATTAAAAAGCAGAGACATTACTTTGGCAACAAAGGTCCATCTAGTCAAGGCTATGGTTTTTCCAGTGGTCATGTATGGATATCAGAATTGGACTGTGAAGAAAGCTGCACAGTGGAGAATTGATGCTTTGGAACTGTGGTGTTGGAGAAGACTCTTGAGAGGCCCTTGGACTGCAAGGTGATCCAACCAGTCCATCCTGAAGGAGATCAGTCCTGGGTGTTCATTGGAAGGACTGATGCTAAAGCTGAAACTCCAATACTTTGGCCACCTAATGTGAAGAGTTGACTCACTGGAGAAGACCCTGATGCTGGGAGGGATTGCAGGCAGGAGGAGAAGGGGACAACAGAGGATGAAATGGCTGGATGGCATCACCAACTCGATGGGCATGAGTTTGAGTAAACTCCGGGAGTTGGTGATGGACAGAGAGGCCTGGCATGCTGTGATACATGGGGTCGCAAACAGTCGGACATGACTTAGTGACTGAACTGAACTGAATTAGGTATTTTATAGAATACTCCTTATTTGGCATTTTCCTAATACTTTTCTCATGGTTATATATGTGCTGTGTTATAGACTGGGGGGAAGGCTACAGGGATAAGGTACCCTTCTGATTACATCATATCATGATATGTACTTGTCACTGTGACTTATCTTCTGCCCCTTTCTCATACTGTACTCTTTCCTTGAAACTTACTGCTGCACTGTCCACACATAGGGAGGGGGAAATTATGCTTCACTTACTTGAGTTCAGAATATCTACATAAAATATCAATATTTGGGATTTCTCTGCACTGATTTCTGTTTGTTCTCCACAGGAGCTCTAGTATTTGACTTTTTAGTGTGACTCATGTATTTTTACTACACAATAATAATTGATATTATTAACAATTTTATTGTATTTGTTAATATGCTTATAATTAATTATGGTTATTACTATTAATAACCCATTGGCTTTAACCCATTAGCACATAGAGGGTTTTAGCCTTCTCTTCTGGTTTGTCTGTATCCTTGCACTCCAATAGTGAGGAACCGAGCTCTAATCATCTTCCATTTATTTACTTATATTTTAAGTTTCAGGGTAAAATGTGCAGTGGTTTCAGAATTGTTAAATTGTTCTCCCATGGGGCACAACTTTATCAATTAGAGTCGAGTCCTTATGTACAATTCCTTTTGTCTTGGTCTTTTTTTTTCCCCCATTTATTTTTATTAGTTGGAGGCTAATTACTTTACAATCTTGTAGTGATTTTTGCCATACATTGACATGAATCAGCCATGGATTTGCATGTGTTCCCCATCCCGATCCCCCCTCCCATCTCCTTCCCCATCCCATCCCTCTGGGTCTTCCCACTGCACCAGCCCTGAGCACTTGTCTCATGCATCCAACCTGGGCTGGTGATCTCTTTCACCCTTGATAGTATACTTGTTTCAATGCTGTTCTCTCAGAACATCCCACCCTCGCCTTCTCCCAAAGTCCAAAAGTCTGTTCTGTACATCTGTGTCTCTTTTTCTGTTTTGCATATCTTTTAAAATTCCATATTTATGCATTAGTATGCTGTATTGGTGTTTATCTTTCTGGCTTACTTCACTCTGTATAATGGTCTCCAGTTTCATCCATCTCATTAGAACTGATTCAAATGAATTCTTTTTAATGGCTGAGTAATATTCCATGGTGCATATGTACTACAGCTTCCTTATCCATTCGTCTGCTGATGGGCATCTAGGTTGCTTCCATGTCCTGGCTATTATAAACAGTGCTGCGATGAACATTGGGGTGCACGTGTCTCTTTCAGATCTGGTTTCCTCGGTGTGTATGCCCAGAAGTGGGATTGCTGGGTCATATGGCAGTTCTATTTCCAGCTTTTTAAGAAATCTCCACACTGTTTTCCATAGTGGCTGTACTAATTTGCATTCCCACCAACAGTGTAAGAGGGTTCCCTTTTCTCCACACCCTCTCCAGCATTTATTGCTTGTAGACTTTTGGATAGCAGCCATCCTGACTGGCGTGTAATGGTACCTCATTGTGGTTTTGATTTGCATTTCTCTGATAATGAGTGATGTTGAGCATCTTTTCATGTGTTTGTTAGCCATCT